ACGGCACGGCGCGGCCCATCCCGGCAGGTGTGGGGGGCCGGCCGCGAAATGGCCCCCAAGGGAGCCGCTGCACCAGCAGAACGTGTGTCTGTGTGGGTACCTGGTGGCCGCAGGGTGTGTGTGGGGGGGTGGGGGTCGCAGCCTCAGGGACCCCCCCCATCCTCTTGTGCCGGACATGTCCCTTTATAGCCCCCCCAGCCCGGGCTAGACGAGCCCAGTTCGTCTGAGCCAAGCTACCCCTGGCATACGTGGGCATCCCTGTGTGACCCACTTGAACAGCGTAACCCCTGCAGGATGTGGAGCTGCATGTGGTGATGTGCCACGGGCATCCTCCGCTCGGGCATTTCTCATGCCAGTAAAATACTCGTGCCCTTCTAGTTCAGTTGTGTAAACTGTGCCACTCTTTGTGATGTATCTGAAGACACAAAGTACGGAACTTGTTCCTGACTTCTCGATGGTACATTAACTGAGCTTATGTTATTCTTTTGGTCCAGGTAGAGATCTTACAACCCAAAGAAGATGTCAAGACGCAGGTAAGCTGTTGACATCATAACTCACTGAGCATATCTGTATTCATCTAACTACTGCTGCTCTTCTAATGTCTAACATCTTTTTGCTCTTTGCAGTAGCCGGTTGCAAGCCAAGCAGCAGCAGCCACTGTCATGCCAAGAAGAGTCTCCACAGGAACTGCAGGCACCAGAACCTCTCCAGACCAGAAAAAGGAGAACAGCAGAGGTGACCAGTTTGGGCAACTTGAAAAGTTTAATAATATTGAAAGTTCTCCAGTGCATTTGGATGGGAGAATCTTTACTCTGCTGAGTTAGAAAGTGGGGCGGGAGTAGCAACAGTTTGCTTTAGCTTTAGAGGTGGGTGTGCTGCCCGTTGTCAGTGTATTGACACGTGTCTCTCTTCTCAGCAGGAGATTAAGAAAAGAGAAGATGGGAAAATTGCTAAAAAGCATCAATATGAGATTAAGGTAATTCAATCTGATTACTGGCTCAAACTAGGTGAGGGATTCCATCTGGTTTATGTTGGTGGGTGTGAAGTTGTGCATTCTGCACTAGAAAGTATTGAATAGGGGAAGTTTCTACCTTTACGTATTAAAAACTATGGAGGCTCTGCACCTTAGCATCTTTCTATACCTTTTTGGCTTTTTACGCTTGTCTTTGTCGCAGATAAAGGGTCTTTCAATGTGGAAACCACTGCAGAATGAGGTTAGGTGTAAAAATGAGAATAAAACCAGATATTTCAGAATAATTCCATATGCAGAGCAGGTAAGGTCTAGAGGCAAGTCTAAACAAGATCATTGCACTTGTTTTAACTTAAGGTGTGGTTTCATGGCCATTTAGTTACGAAGACTCATAACCATGCAGGCCTTCTTTACTCATTTAACAGTTCCTTTGAGTATTTAAATCCATTTAGGAATCTGTTTTAACTCACATAGGCTACTTCTGAACCAAGTGAGGGCCTTTGTGGTTGTTTATTTTAAAGTGGATTAATAAAATAATGTAACTTTCTCTTGCAAACAATCAATTTTGCCGTTACTCTGTAAAGCAAATGAGACTAACAGCTATGGTGAAGTAAAACTTCTGATTGTGAAATTATCTTTGCAAACTTTGTGTAGGGGGAAAAATCTGTGTAAGTATGTCAGCTGTACTTGGGGTGAAACTGCATGCCACAATTTACCTTTGCTGAATGAGAGAAATCCTGCCTCCTTCTTTTTTTTTTTTTTTACTTCCTTGATAGCTGGCCACACACTCCATCCCCTGCCTTGCTCCATTTTTTGGCTCTCTTTTAAATGAAGCAGTATGCAGGTTTAGCTTGCTAATTTGGCACTACAAACTGAGTTAATGTTCTGCCAGGTTAGTAAGTTGAATCAGCCCAGCGGAGGATATGACAAGCATCAAAGCTGACAAAAGGAAGGGGTGGGTCTTGGGGAGTGAGGATCACAGGAGAGAAGGAGGAGCAGGATCCCCCAGTTCTTGTGTCTGTGTGCTGTTAAGATCAATTCTGCTGGAATAGGTAAGTTCACTCTTAGGGTACTTTAGTCTGGCTATAAGTACGTTTAGATATACTAAGGAAATTGTATGTAGTTTACCTTGCAAAACAGCTATATAGGAAAGGTTTCTGTGTTCATGGGCAGGTGTTGCCATTCTTTGTGAGTGGGATCGCCCCGAACTCCAGAGAGCATAATTAAAGCTCTGTGACACCATTTTGAAGACTGTCAGCCATTACAGCATTGCATATGCTCCATGCATTTGATACCTCCTTGTTTGTATTGGTTATGTACAACTAAATAAGTATTAGTGAAACAAGTTACAGGGTTAACTAATCTAGAATTCCTTCTTTGAAGATTTCTGCGTGAATAACTTTGGGCTCCTCTCCTTTTGAGTCATTGCATCCCATATTTGGCATTGACAGGCTGAGAGATAGTTCACAGCTGCTGCTTGCTCAGTGGGTATCTAGTTCTGGAGCTGAGATGGGTGGCTCCTCTCTGGAGTGCTTAATTGGAAGATAACAAGTTGCTGAATTTCCACTGAGAGACAGTAGGACCTCCACCCTCTCCTTTCTTTTCTCTCTGAGTAGATAAGTAGATAGGGCCAGCAACCTCACGTCCTGTGTCTTAGTAGCAGTGAGTACCTTTTGCCTTATGTCCTGTAACTGAGCAGCTGAAGTAATGGGTAGGTTACTTGTGGGTTCGTAAACTAAAGACAGTTGTCTTCCTCAAAGCTGAGTTTCCCAAATTTGTCTATACATATTGCATCTTGACTACGAAAGTCTTTGTTGGCATTTAATCTCTTTGTCTGCCTTGGTTTCGGTACTTGAATCGATGCTGAGGTCTAAAAAGGCTAATGTGTGTTACATGTATTGTTGTTGTTACTGTAATCTACTTCTTGCCTTTCTTGCTCTCATAGTAAAATCAGCCTTTAAAAGATACCTTGTTTATGTTGCAGAGTTGTTGGCCGCCCACAATAACAGGAGGCATCTCACCTTGCATAATTATTGAAACTCCGCACAAAGAATCAGTAACCACTGACTTCTCAAGATTCAAAAAATACAGGTTCAGAAACCTCTTCATAAATCCATCACCTTTGCCAGAACTCAAGTAAGTTTACCAGATGCAGCAGTTGTTCTGCATATTTGATAAAACATCAACTACTATAGTAAAATCTGTGGTTGTATTGTGTTTGTATTATAGTGGGCAGTCCTCAACCCATACTTCTACTTGTCTCCTCATCCCACAAACAATTTGATGTCCAAAAAAAAGACAGAAATTCTGTTGTGTTTTTTTCTCTTGATCTTATAAACACACTGGACAGATAATGTTCGCCTTTCAGAATTGTCCTTTTATAACTTAATGCTGGAGACTCTAAGTGGTTAAGAGGGACATAATGGTTAAACTAGCCTTCTTTCAGTGCTATTGGAACTGAGAAAACCTCTGCTGAGGTGACTGAGAAGGAAAATGTGAAGCATTACTTTGAGAACCTTTTTAGATACACTGTGTTTTCATTTGTTCCAGCCAGAACTTGATCGGAACTGGGAGATGCTGCATGGTGACATTTTGCCTCAGTGCAAAGCAATAGGTCTCTTGTAGTCTCTTTCACTGAGTTTCAAGCTCAGCTGCTCTCCTCTCTCAGTATTACTACCAAGCCTGCTGAACTGTGCTTTAAAGAACAGTATACTTTTATTTCCAACACATACAAAAACCCATTTTTGTATGTGTTGGAAAGCTTAGTGCAAAGTAGTTTAAAAAAAAAAAAAAGGATGGTGAGTGGGGGAAATCTCATGTGCCCCTCTAGCAAGTTGTTGCAAACTGCTGGATCCTAAAAATAAGTTCAGATACAGAATTCCATGCGAGGAGTTTAATCTTTGATGTTCACCTTTTATCGATAGGCATCTAGTAAAGCTGAGCTCCATCCTTTCCAATTAGCTGAATAAGAGGATCATTTACTCTCTCCTGCTGCCTTCATGCTTTCCTAACTGCTGCAGGAAGATCGTAAGAGATTTCTTGATGCCTGCCCACTTAAATGAGGAGACTTGTACATTAAATGAGCAAGTATCTCTCCAGCTTTTAACTTATGATGGCAGCAGAATGGGACTGATCTGGGTTAGAATTTGTAGGTGATACCAGTTATCAGATCTGTTTAATCTCTCTTTGTTCCTGCGTGGGGAAAGGTAAATATATGACTCCAAAAATTTCGGTAGGAAGCTGGCATTACATTCGTTACCATGCTGTCCCTCTTAGTAAGATGAGAAGTACATCTAAGAAAAAAAACATACATCAGTTCCTAATAACAGTAATTACAAATTAAAACCAAACCATATTAATGATATAGGCATCTTCTTCCCAAGTAGACTTGAGTGCTAATAAATTATAAGTTAGCAATAAACAAGAACTTGGTTTTTTTCACAATAGCCTGTTTCTGAGCCTTAAGGTAGGCTAGAAAAGGAAGGGAATGGATGAGTGACTCTTAAACACTGTCTGTAAATGTTTTTCTCAAACTAAACCGGACAACTTTGCGTATGTTTTGTGTTTCTTGGGGACTGTTTTTTTTTTTTTTCTTTTTTTCTGGGGAGAGTTTGTTTTTTCTCTTGCTCTCTGGGCAGCCACCTAACTAGGCAAAATAGAAAACTGGCTGTATGTGCAACTTTGGGATGTACACGTTCAGTTTTATTGACTGTTCTATAAAACTGGACTTTGATTTGGCAAGCTGCTGTTGTGGTGATGTAAAATGTTCAAAGTATACCTACAGTTTTCTAATTACCACAGGGATCTTTTAGTATGCGGAATTTTTCTTTTTGTTCCTGAATACCTGTAAACAATAAATAATGTTTTTATGCTGCTTTTGTGAAGGTGTATGTATACTTAAAAATGCTTTGTGTAACTCTTTATTCCATAGCTGGGGAAATTCCAAAGATGTCTGGCTCAACATCCTGAAGAAGGAGAACCGATACGCTCACTGCAAACATTTCACATCACTACACTCCAGTTTGCAACCTCACATGAGATCAATACTGTTAGACTGGCTCTTAGAGGTGTGTTCTTTTAGTTACTGTGCCATTTTTTATGCTTGTGGACTAAGCAGATAAAAGCACAGCTTTTACATAAAAAACCTAATAGCAAAATGTACTATATGGTAAATGCTAAAACTAGTTTGCAACAAAAGGGTTACAAGTTGCTTTTGATCCTCTTGGTGAGCTACATTCAGTCTATCCTGGCAGGAGGTGCTGAACCTTCCACACAGGGCAGCAAGCAGTAGTACCAAATTTTTGCTCCCTGAGTTACCACCTTGGTCCTGTCTACAGCAAGAGCTCTTAGATGTCAGCCCTGACACTATTTTCCGACTTACTAGTAAATTTTTAATTCTATTCTATGAAGAGAGCAGAACAAAAGTAGTGCATTAGTGGTGGACATCTGAAGTCTGTTGATACAGACAGATTCTTGTTGGAAAACAATTATAAATCATCCATATTCCAGTCTAATTACTGTACTTCAGAGTATTCCAGTTGTCAGACAAAATGGAAGTTCTCAATATTGGCAGCCTATGTGAAGGATTATTAGTGTAGAGAGCTATGTTCTGGAGGTGTTTCCAGGAACTCTGTGTTGAGCATATTCAATCACCACTGCCAAAAGTAGCCTTTGACTCATGCAATCCTTGCCCATCAGTGGAAGGTATCTTGCAGGTTTACCAATTCCATATCGAGTAGTCCAAGGAAGCAGATGTTAGTGGCACTCTTGCTGTCTTGGTGGAATAGTGCTAATAGCACCTTCAAGGGAAAGGAAAGGAGCATGGAGGTTTTTGGAGGAAAAAAAAAAAAACCCCACAAAAACCCAGTCTGAATAAAAAAAAAACTATTCCAGTTGTGCACTTCCCTGCTTCTTCTAATGTGTAATTTACATACCACCATTAAATTGTGTTTTGTTGCCTTTTTTGAAAACCTTGAACTCTCAGGAAATCATCCAATTTCCAGACACAAATGTCCAGCTGTTGTCCAGCTCAGTGGTTCTATATGCCACAGTGGATCAAAATCCCATATTGAGGGTCCGTATCCAAAATCCAGTATTGAGAGTCCTTCAGTAGCTCCTACCATTGTCTTCTGTAACATCATAACTGAGATACTATTTAACCTGACCAAGCATTATTGCTTATGTTTGGGCAATAGGGTTTTGCAGAAATTGCACTATTTATTCATGGGTGGACCTGGTCTGTACCTTTATAGTTCTGAATCTTGTTTGGAGCAGTAGTTAATAATATCAGAGTAGCACATCAATTGGCAAATATTAGATCAGGTCTAGATCAGAATGACCTATGGTGTTACTGCCAACCAGTTGCATTTTTGATGGTCAGGGAGGATTTTAATTTGCAAATGGGCTTTCAACCTTATCTTAGTTATTCTGACTTTGTATCCAAGTGAAATAATGAAGCAGAGCAGGAAGCTTGGACTGGGGTTCTATTTCTTGGTTATTCTTTCCTGTTGACTATAGGTAGATTATAAATAATTTATAGGTATCTAATTAGTTTCTAGTTGTGGAAGGGATACAGAGTTGCAGATAAGATGGAGTTCTAGTAGACCCACTCAAATTCAGTTAGAGATTAGAGGAAAAAGTAGGCCCCTGCATAAGATCTCCAGGCCTGGGCTGCCTCCTTTCCCCTTTTTGTTGAACTGGCATTTGAACCACTGTGATACAATGCAGGGATTAAAAGGTTCTCCCTGCCAGGGAAACCCGCAACTGTATGGAGCAGATGGCTGTTCTTGCAGTTTTGTTCCCGCTTAGGGAGGCTGTCGGTGTGCCTGAGGGACTGCAGGCAGAGCTCCTGACTTGGCAGCAGAGCCCCCTTGGGCAGGAGCTTCCAGGCTTAGTTGCTGTAGAGCCAAAGACTTCAAGTTTTATTTAGTGGTTCTACCCTGGGACAGACCTACTAGGAATACAGAGAGGATCTGCTCAGCGACTTCAGCCTAAGGTTTGAGCCAAAGTATTCTTAATCAAGCAAATTAATGAGAGGTTTTTTGCTGGTTTTTTTTTTTTTTTCCCTTAATGAAGCTTTCTTCTTTCAGTAGAAAATTGTTTGTACTCATTTTTAGGAAAACTGGATGCTATTTAGATTAGAAAAAGTATACTTTGGAAGTATGTTAGTGCATCATAGACAACCCATGTTCAGATGGGAGCATGGGAAATACTTTTCCCAGTCCCATACTAACCATAATGTCCTAACACACCTAGGTATGTGATGGCTTGTGTGTGCAAAAGATAAAATTGTGCATACTGTGTTTTACTATTAAAGCTTGAATACTCCAATGTGTGTACATAGAGTTTTTTAACAGAAAACTGATTTTTTTTTTTTCCCCTGTTGTAGGTATGTGAGGTGTATGCACTCCACAGGGAAACTTTCTACCTAGCTCAAGACTTTTTTGATAGATTCATGTTGACACAAAAGAACATTAACAAAAGCATGCTTCAGCTCATAGGAATTACCTCATTATTCATTGCCTCCAAACTTGAGGTAAGAAGCTCTGTTATGGGGAGGTTGATTTTTGTTATTCCAAACTAAATAAGAGAGTGATAACATATTTATTTCTTCTGTCTGAATCTTTTTAACTTGGTGTATATACAACACTGAAGGTCAGAAGGGGAAATTTTTTTCTCTTCAGTTGTGTGTCAATCTCGTGTAGTCTTTGTCCTCCCTTTCCTTAGCAGTGGGGGAGACCACATAAACTTAAAAGGTATGCAAATGTGCCAGAGTAGTTTTGTTTTGTTTTGCCTTTTTCCAAATACAGAGCAGTTGGCAAACCATCTCAGGAACGGGTGTGGGACTTGTACAAAACCAAGCCAACCAAGCCTAAATCTCAAACTGCCTGTACATGAGGCTGATATCCTTCTAAACCCATTTAGTGGAGTTTTGGTTTTTTTTTTTACTTTTAAACATAATCAGTGCAGTGATGGTGATATGCTACACTGCATTGGTGAGCCGAGAGCATATTTCTGTATGTCTCCTTTTGTAGGTCACGGTAGGCTAAACTGAGAGGAAAATTTGGGGTATTCAATTTTTATAATCTGAAACCTTCTGAATCTATCTGCTGTTCCTAAAGCCGAGGTAGTGCAGCTTAAGGAAGTGCGTGGGGCATCTGGCTATGGAGCCAGCTGGTAGAGAAGCAGTTCTGCTGGCAAGTTCTCTTTTATTAATACACCTACCTAGACGTAGCCCCAGCTGGCATGACAGGGTTGGCAAATGTCTTTGTTAGCCATCTCTGCACTATGGATTTTGCCAGCTACAGTGGCTGTGGGATTTTCTTTCATCTTTTTGTAGCCTTTTTTTAATCAATGAGACTGCATCAGTACTGACATTGTGCATAACCTGTATCAGCAAGCCTTTTCTAACGCCACAGTTGCTGTACAAGAACTAGGATGGTGTGTATTTTTACATCAAATGGAGTAGCTGAGTAGAATGATTGCTTGGTCAGCATTTGCTTCCCCAAAAGCTAAAAAAGTTGTGATAACTCTATCGTGTTTTACAACAGGTAACATAGAACCTACTTGTTTTTAGTATCTCCTCATCTTGTGTGTTTCAAAGTCACTTCGTATAATGAAAAAAACACTGTTCTAGTGTAAGAAATGTTAATATTCTAATATGGACTGAAAAGTATCTGTCAGCATCTTCTTAAGCTTTCTTAGAATTGTGAGGCATTCTAATCTTCACTTTTTCCCCTTCCTCCCTTTAAAGGAAATCTACGCTCCTAAAATACAGGAATTTGCTTATGTCACTGATGGTGCTTGCAGTGAAGATGATATTGTAAGAATGGAACTTATTATGTTAAAGGTAATAACTTTGCTGTATTCTTAAGTGCTGGTGAAAGACTGTCCAGCTGAGTCTTGTATTTTAATGTCCTTTATCTGCTTAGAAAAGGAACACGTTTAGTCTGTCCTTTCTGTGAAACAATGAAACCTTCATTGTGTGTGCAGTGGACCTCTAAAGCCCCTGGCTGGGGTGGAAAAACCTCTGTCTGTTAGAAAAAGACAGGTTTTCTCATGTTTGCATGAAAGTAAAGGCTCTTACCAGATGCAGCCAGCCACAGGACAGATAGGAAAGCTGTTGCTGTGATGTAGTGCACTTGCCAGTGTCCTTTGCTTTCCAGGAACAGGGGCCTCCAGGAGAGCGAGGCAAAGAAGCGACACTACTTGGTGCTCTTGATGTTGGAAAGAATCCATCTTTACCATCACAGAACTTCTTATAGATTTATTCTTCATTAGTAGATACTATTTGCAGGCCTAGGCAGCTAGCCTGAAGGCTTGGGAGAAATTCTTTTAATTTCCCAGCTTCTGAATGGGGAAGAGACGCAAGATCCAACTGCACAGGCATAGGGAAGGGTGTTGAGGTAGAGACATTTTTGTGCTGGGAGTAGTGAGAATGCAATCTAAAATTAACATTTGTACTTGAAATTGTATATAATCTTTAGTGTCTTTCGAGTATCTGTGCAATAAGCTGAGCAAGCTCAGAAGGGGAAGTATGGTAGCACAAAACTCTCCTTGTACGGTTTAAGGTGCTTAACTGTTTGTTTAATATTCACAGGCTTTAAAATGGGAACTCTGTCCAGTGACAATCGTCTCTTGGCTGAACCTCTATCTTCAAGTGGATGCTCTGAAGGATGTTCCGAAAGTGCTGCTACCTCAGTATTCTCAGGAAAAATTCATTCAGATAGCACAGGTAGGTAGTAAACTGTATTGCAAAATACTTTTTGGAGTGATGAAAGCACAACTGAAAGTTATGGCCCAAAAGCCATTGAAGAATGCTTTTCCTTGTTTCACCTCCCCTTACTTCGTTAAATGCAAGTTTGACTGCCAGAGAACTTCATACTCAGTTTTAAGGAGAAGCACCCATGTGTTTCTTGTCTCCCTGCTGTCATGTATTTTAAGACACTTCTGTACACTGGAAAAATACAAACCCATCTCATCTTTAACCATTGCAGCATTCTGCAAATAGCAGGCAGTGGCAACAGCTCTGAGAGGAGGGCGGATAATTTAAGGTCATTTACGACAGTTAACCGCTCTTTGCTGGAT